CTTCTACATATCAAAGAAAACATATCACCCTTGACTTTCTGAGACTGGCTTGTTTTGCTTAACATGAAGTATTCTAACTCCATCCATTTTTCTGCAAGCAACATAATTCCTTTATTCTTTTTGGCTAAAGTCACATGGACCTTTTTTAAAAAAATGAATATCATAGCACCTTACTGCTTATTCACAACTACCCCTAATGCCTCCTCATCCCATTTAGAATAAAGTCCTAATTCTTGCTAACTTTTGCCCTGGCTCAATGGCCTTGTATGATGTGCCTCCTCCTACTCCCTGCCTACCATTCTGATTTCATTGCTTATTTATCTCCTTATTCACCACTTCTAGCCCAGACTGGCTTCTGACCAGTTTCCTGAACCCACTAAGCTCAGCCCTACCTTAGAGTTTTAGTTCTCACTGTTCTTGCTTCTTGGATCTTCTTTTCATTACAAACAGGCTGAATATCCCTTATCTGAAATGTGTGGGACCAAAATGTCTTCCATTTTAAACTTTTCAACTTGTAGAATATATACTTATATATAATGAGATATCTTGCAGATGAGACACAAGTTTCAACACGAAAATCATTTGTTTCCTAGCCACTTTATATGTGTGGCCTGAAGGTAATTTTACGCAATATTTGTAGTGCACCTGCGCTTTGATTGCATCCCACCACATGGGGTCAGGTGTGGAATTTTCCACTGTGCCATCATGTCAGGGCTCAGAAAGTTTCATATTTTGGAGCATTTGGGAGTTTGAATTTTTGAATTAGAAAGAGACAACCTGTATTATCAATATGTGTTGTGACAGAACATATTTATTTGATAGCTCTTCCATTTTCTATCTCTTCTGTATGAATTTACATTCTACAAAAGGAATGTCTGACTTGTTGATCATTGTGTCTCTAGGCTGAGAACAGTGTCTGGCGCATGGTGGGTGTTCACAAAGCACTTGGTTAGTTGAGTCGGAGAATCCAGACACATTGACAGAGTGCTTGCTCCTTTTGGGCAACACTTCATACGAAGTAAGTAGTAAGTGTCCTCTTTAGAACCAGAATTCCCTCTCCAGTTCAACACAGTTCCCATAGCTCTTTATTTCCTCATACTCAGCCTTCTTTACACATTTCTATTTAGTCTTGTGCTGGTCCCTGGAGTAGATTCTACTTAAAGTACCGGAACCTACAATACATTTTCCAATATGTATCAGAGTTTCAGGAGGGAAATCAGAAGTATCCATCTGAAGAATTGAATGTGGACTCATTTCATTCTTGCTGGTTTCCTGTGATATTGCATCAGTACAGTTCTATGTCTTCTGATAGTAATTTAGTACAAATTAATGATAGTATAGTAACCTCTTTAAAAAAAATCTGGGACTAAGCCAGGCATGGTCATGCACACCAGTAATTCCAGCTAATTGGGAAGCTAAGGCAGGAGGATTGCTGCCTTGGTAACTTAGTGATATTTTTTCTCAAGATAAAAACTATAAAGGTCTAGAGATGTGGCTTTGTGGTAGATCATCCCTGGGTCTAATCCTCATTGCCGAACAAAAAATATATATGTGTACAAATATATGTACACACACACATACATGTGCATATATGTATACATATGATTATGCATGTGCATTTGTATATATATGCACATGAATAATCTGCTTTATACATATATGTGTATATGTGCATAGATGTATATGTATATATGTGTATATATGTATCAATATGACTAAAACAAGTTCAAACTCGTATCTATAGCGGCCTACTAGAAGTAATTGACATTTTGAGTTCTTGATCCACATGACAAATATGGCTTAATATCATACTGTTTTTTTTTTTAAAATCATACTAAAAAATGATCCTCACAGATTCCCATAGGTAGCAAATACATTATTTGTAATAAGTATTCATAAAACTCAATTTAAACAGTATTATGCATGTTTTTGAAGGAAGGCTTGTCTAACCATGCTATGTCTGGAACTTTCCAATTTCTAATTGGAAATCAGTGAGAGGTACTTCATAGCTCAGTGTGAGGATATAGTGGTTATACTATAAAATGTTTTGAGACCCTCCTCAAGAAATTACATCAATATAAAACATTGTTTTCTAGGCAAAAGGTAAAGTAAGTCCCCTAAAATACGCTTGTTAGATGATGGGCAATAATTCATTATTAAATATTACTATGCTCTGGAAAGATTTCCTCTGCATATAGGTTTTGAAACACCTCATAATACAAGTTTTCACCAAGAAAGCTTTATATGTGAGTAAATACTGAGGTCTGGTGATGACTTTGGGAATAACTTAGCCAAATAGTCACATAAGGGAAATGAAAATTAAAATATATTTCTATTAAATGTAGTCAAGTATAGGGCAAATTGCTTTCCCAGCTAAATTCTACAGAATGTCTATTGTTCATAAATCATTACCAATAATTATCCCCTCTTTTATGATAACTGAGAATGCACCACTCAGACTACAAAAGGTTTATTTCATACATTTGTAAATATATTCACCCACTCAAACTGTGTCCATATTTAAAAACCAAATATTAAAAATAAAGGAAAACCCATCAACATTTTTCTCTTCCTGAAAGGATTCCTTAGGGTATTCAGGAAAAGACTGACTTTAGAAGTTGTATCTTAATCAGTAGTCAGTTTTTCCTTGCCATCTTATTTAGTTTGTTCTTTAAAAGGCAAATATCACCTTAGCAAAAACTTCAGTCTACAAACAGTAGAAATATACCAGAAGACTTGAAGGCCACACTGGCAAACCAAGAACCACAGAATTTTATGCAGCGGAGACTAATGAATTCAGTGACCTTAATAATATCTCTTCAGGAGGGAGCTCAGTTAAAAATGCTAAAATACATATTCTATTAATCACCATATCTATGCCTCTTCTTGGTTAACAACAATAAAGAGACATGTAATGTATATAAACAGATGATGAAGTTGAAAGGGTAGTATATATAGAACTGAAAGACCCTCTTTCAAACCCAAGTTCTGTCACTTGCTGATTTTGTGTTATTGGGTTTTTGGCTTTAGTGTTGAATGGATAGTTTACAAAGATGGGAAAAAACGGAGAAGAACATCTCTGGGAGGTAGACTTGTAAGCAGCAGTTTGGTTTTGGCTCTATCAATTTTGGTTTTAGAAGTCATACAAATGAAGACATTGAGTATATAGTTAATTATATTCATATGTAGTTTAAACAAGAGAGACGTTGGAAATATTTGACATTGAAATAGAACACAGATGGAGAGGAAAGTATATTACTGCAGAAAGGAAATGAGAAATTTAAGAAGACTGAAGGTAGTCCACTGTGTTGAAAGATGCTGAGAGGCAGAGGAGTATAAAGCCAGAGAAACTGCCATTTAATCTGGCAACATGGAGGTCTTGCCTGACCATGGAGGGGTAGAGATGGAATCCTGATTAGTATGGGCTGTAAGATGAGAAAAGAGAGACACTGATCATGGTCATTAAAAATTTTGCTGTGAAAGTTCTACTGGGATGTGGGCCCATACATGTGAACATACTTTCAAGATAGAAAACACTTGACCATGTTTCTAGGTTGAAGAGAACATTCCAGAGGCAGAAATGACTATTCAGAAAAGAGGGAGATAATTGCAAAAGCAAAGCTATGGCGATGTTAAGAGATAATGGAATCTAAACAAGATGGCTTTTGATAGAAATAAGGCCAACTCTTTCATACTAATAGGAGTGAAGGCTTCCCCATGTGATTCTAGGGGAGACTGGGGGATTGTTGGTAGGATAGATTGCCTACATTTTTGGATGAGGTCAGAGTTAAGATGGAATAAAGGCAAAAGTATGGAAAGATTGTCAAAAAAAGATTTGGAAGAGCAAAGAGGGTGAAAGTGATATATTCTGGCATGATTTGTGGGTCCTGCCATGCTGCTTAATCATCTGAGTGTTACAGCATGAAGTTTAAAACAAAACCAGTTAGCACGTCTATGCTTTCAACACAGCAAAACTCACCTGCTAGGGTACAGATATGGAATAGAGAAAGCAGGGAAGAGGGCATTCAGAGAAGGTAGGATCAGAATATGGAAAATTTTATTGTCGATGGATGAAGACCACCTAAGAGGTAGAGATGAAGAAATCTGTCATAAACAAGAGAAAAACGTCTGTCATTTGAAAAAGAGGGTGGAAAAAAGTTGAGATGAATAAGGATGGGAAATACTGAGGAAGAAAACTTGAGGAATTTGTATCAGATAGTTCTAAGCTAAGTGAAATAGGAAATGTATTCATCCACAGATGAAAACCAGTAGGGAAACCACGGTTTCCAACCAACAGCAGCTACTACAGTGAGCTCAGCCCACTAACATGGCAACATATCCCTAATAAGGGGCATATTAAATTGTGTAACTGGACCTAGATAAGGAATAAGTTAAGGTCAGAGGACATGGATCAGATTTATTTGAAGAGAAGAGGTAGAGGGAAGAGTGAGAAAGACGGGAAAGTAGGATGAGCTGCTTAACCAGGCAAGCTGAGTGGAGATGGGGGAAGGAGGAAAAAAGCCAGTGTGGAAGACAGGCACCTGGTCCCCCACTGAGTCGAGCATGATATTGCAGCCTAGCATGTCTCCTGCAGGATGGTTCCTTCACTCCTTCTAGTTCCTTTGCCTTCAGTTTTACATTGAGTTTTGTAGTGATTAATAAATAACGCATGGCAGCAGTGATAAAGAAAGGCACTACTTCACAAAGAAGAGCTCTCAAGCCCAAGAGTCCCAAGTCAGAAACACTGAGAGCTTAGTTCTTGCTCACCCACATGGCAGATCATTACACCAACCATTTTCTTCTGACTCTGAGCCCCTCTTTCTTTATCCGTAAAATGGAGGGAGATGGACTTCTTAGCCCTCACCCTGATCCTACCCCAGGGGGAAATTGTCAGGAGATTCTGCTTTGGCAAGATATGCAGTATTGTTCTTCTGTTTACTGCATTTATTTAGTACCAGTCAAACATACTTATTTCCTGAGCAGCAGTTGTGGCCACTTACTGTAACACTGATGTCCATCAGCTCCCAGCTCAAAGCCAGGGTCGCAGGCACAAGTGAAAGACCCCACTGAGTTCACACAGCGATGACCACAGTGAGCAAGCCCTTCGGTGCACTCATTTATATCTGTAGAGAGAGAGACAATAGCCATGTCTTAGCAGCTCTAATTAAGACTTCTTTGTAAACTATAAAAATAAACTACCCTTCCCCCTCCATTTATCCCCTAGCATACAATGAAGGGTCAAATACCATATGGGCTCCATATTCTTAGTATGAAGAGGGCATTTATAAAAACCAACTTTCTCTTACTTCTACCTTTGGTCTTATGCTCATAAACACTTCTAGCTAGTAGAACCTACAATTATCTATTATTTTAAAAAAAAAATAAAAGAAAAAAAATAGGTCCCTCAATAATACAGGTAGAAGTTAGTTATTAAAATTTGCCTTTAGGAATATATATCACACTGTTAATCAAAAACAGCACTGCTCTGGTTTAAATTAGACAATATGTGTGGCTGCTGGCAAGGCAGGTTTGGGGCTTTTATATGTAGCAATCCAAGGTTTATGTTGTGCAAGGGAATGTTACAGGCAGGCCATGTGAACTCTGGAACCTTCGCTCTTGGTGTTGACCATTAATTCTATTCAGTATGACTTCAGTTTTGAGGCGCAGGTAATTTCTGCTCCTTCCTCTTAAAGTGTCAGGTCTCATCATGATTTTTTTTTACTAGTATTTCCTCTTTCCACTGTCCTACATGTTTCAAACCAGGGCACAGAGAGGAATACTCATTCTTTTAATATGTTCATAAAAATCTAAATAGGCAGTAGTTTCAAGGATATATTTTATGGTTATAATGTATCAGATCTTAAAAGGTTGAAAAAGATGGTAGAGATGTATGTATGTATGTATGTGTATATATATGAATCTGTCTGCCTGCCTATTCATATTCATCAATTTTCAACTATTTAATAAGACCCTATTCTGTTCCAGGTGCAGATCTGTGGAAAGAGAAGTCTAAAGCAAAATGTTTTCCTTAGAATAGTAGGCTAACCGAATCCATAAAAACATTTTATCTTAGTTTTGGCTTAAAGGAATAAAGCAAACTTAACACTAATTTCTATGTCTAATTATTTTTTCAATTTCACAAAATGTTTATCAGTTCTGTAAGTCAGGAAACATTTTTGTATTTTCATAATTAATCTAAATAAGCTGTTTCTCATTACACGAAAATGTCATGATAAAAATGAAGGATTCTGCGATTTCTCAGAAGTTATTAAAACAAAGACTGTCCCACAGGAATGATTTCCTTTATCAGTCCTGGTCATGGAATAATTTATCACTTTCATCTTTGAATTGAAGTATGACTGTTTTGCTATTTCTGAGAAACAGAAATGTGTAACCTTGTATTTACAGAGTTTCTTTCTTTTTTATTTTAATTATTCCTACCTTCTGAGAACATTCATTTGCACACACTTGCTTTTCAAAGGTTATCCCCACCTTCTGCAGTCTATAATAAAAATCTCCCTGTGTGGTTATGAAAGGTTTTGAAATATTAATTCTAGAAGTCATTTCAGAATTAAAAAAAAAAAACAGAAAACAAAAAGCATTAATTCTGAAGCTACACAAGGTCTTTTTTCTTAATTGTAACTAAGAATTTCACTTAGTTTTATAGCATTATAAAAATACCTTTCAGAGTGATCAAATAAGAATTTAAATGTTCCCTTTTACGCAGAAATGAAAACACCTTTGCTCCTAGCTGTTCTGCCTATTCAAAACTGAGCTACCACAAAATTTCAAACAATTACACAATTAAGCCATCAGCTTCTGCTTCCTACCTGCACAGGCCTTTTTGTCTTCAGACAGCTGGTACCCTGGGTGGCAGGCACACCTGGCCACCCCATTCTCACTCTGACACATGTGAGCACATCCATTCCCACCTATGCAGGGGTCCATCTCTGAAAGCAATTAAGCAGTGAGAGTTTACAATTCATTCAGTTTAGAAAGATGAGCAGAGTAGAAGGGCAGACAAAGAAGAACCCAGCAGCCATAGAGCCCCTGGATTTCCCACGGAAAGGAAGATGGAAAGGACTCCGCAAAGACATTTCCCCATTTCCCATGGAACTTGTTCAACAAAAGCATTCCCATTTTGTGATCTGAACCTCAAACTCAGACTAATCTAAATGTAGATTAAGGCCAAAGAAGTATTAATTCATCGTCACCCTTCCACAAAGTATGCCTCCTGCTCTCTGGTATCTGAATTGAAGAACCAGCAGAGACTCCTTCAGATACCTCTTGACCTTCCCTCTGGCTCTTTCCACCTTTTCTGTTTCTATGAGTAAGCAGGCTCATCCTTAAGTAAAGCCTATTTCTTCTACTAGGTCTGCTGCCTTTGAACAAGTAGTCATGGGGTCAGGAGACTGCAGTCTGGAGAGATGGAGGGAGAGTCCTAGCTCTAGAAGGCATCCAGGTAGCCCTGAAGAAGCTGAAATGCCTCCACTGGAATTAAATCAGCTGGCCTCCTTTTCTGCTTCACTTGCTCCTATTTTAATCATTCTTAGTCATATTATCTGGAAATTCAAAGCAATGGGAAGCCACAGGACCTATCAGGAGTCTGCACAGAGCTTATTTGTCAGTTTTTGTTTAGTGACTCTGGCCTGAATCTATGAATATAGCCTTGCCTTGTCTTACAGGCTGCTGGAATGGGACCTCAGAATGTCCACTCCTGCCCCTGCCTGCTCCATGTGAAGCCAAGGCTTTATGAAAATATAAATAACACATACAGAACAATATACATTGTACTGCTTCTTAATTTTTGGATATAGAGGTATTGAGGTGAAATGTGGATGAATTTGGGGAGTATTACCATTTGAACAATATCTTCTGAAGTATGAGCATGTTTTTCCTTTTATTTAGACCTTCAACATTAGTATTTATTTATTTATTTCAACATTTCATAGTTTTCAGTATGTACATTTGCACTTCTTTGTTAAATTTGTTCCTATGTGTTTTATTATTTTTGATGCTGTTGTAAACGGAATTGTTTTGCAATTTCATGTCTGGATTGTTCATTGATAGTATATTGAAATTCAATTTACTTTAATGTGTCAATCTGGTATTCTGCAGCTCTATTGAATTCCTTTATCAGTGTTAATGGGATTTTAAATGTACTTCTAAGGGTTGTCTTTTTAAGAATTTTTTTTTGTTTTTTATTTTACTATTTAATTGCACAAATATACTGGGTACAGTGTGATTAGAACTTTCTCTAGAGAATATGATATGCTATGTGGAAAAAAATATTTTGCTTTTCTTCCTTCCCAAACTGGATGCTGTTTATTTTGTCCTTACCTTATTGCTTTAGCTGAAACCTTCAGTATGATGCTGAATAGACATACCATCTGAATGAGCTGACACCTTGTCTTATTCCTTATCTTAGAAGGAAAGCTTTTTTGCTATTTCACAATTACAAAATTATTATGATTGATTATATTTATGTTTTTTAAAATAAACTCCCTTCACTGGAATGAGGAATTTTCATTCTATTACAAATTTGTTAGGTAATTTTATTGTGAAACAATATTTAAAATTTTAAATTCTTTTTTTCACCCATTATTGATATGATCACGAGGTTTTTGTCCTTTACTTGTATGGTTTATTACAATAATTAATTTTTAGATATTTTATTAATCTCTTTTCCTGAAATAATTCTCACTTTGGTATACTGCATAACACTTCTATATGTTGTTGGATTTGATTTCTTTGTATTTTGTTGAGGATTTACATATCTATACTCATAGGGGATATCAGTCTACAATTTCTTTCTTGCAATATCCTTGGTTTTGTTATCAAGGTGATATCATGGTATGAATGTGAAGTGTTTCCTCCTTTTCTATATTTTGGAAACATTTGTGAAAAATTTGTATTAGTTTTTTTTTTTTTTTAATGTGTATTGTCATTCGCCATTGAAAAAGTCCTTGCCCAGGACTTTTCTTATTGGAAGCTTGAAAATGAGTAATTTAATCTCTTTACTTATTATATGTCTAATCAGATATTCTATTTCTTCAGAAGTCAATTTCAATAATTCTTGGAATTTGTCTATTTCATTTAAATTTGTTGTTATAAAGTTGTTTGTAACATTTCTTTATTCTACTATTTATTTCTGTGGGGTCAGTAAACAGGATCCAGCTTTCATTCTTGGTTTTAGTAATTTAAGTCTTCCCTTTATTTTTCTTCATCTGTCTAGCTAGGAGTTTATCAATTTTATTGATCTTTTCAATGAAACACTTTTGTTTTTGTTTCATCTGTTGTTATCCTATTCTCTATTTCATTAGTTTATACACTAATCTTTATTATTGTCTTCCTTTTTACTTGCTTTGGGTTTAGTTTGTTCTTGTTTCTCCATCATTTTGATGTGGGGAGTTGGGTTATTGGTTTAGATTCTTTTTCTTTTTCCACTACAGGCACTGGTAGCAATAAATTTCCCTCTATCACTACTCTTAGCTACATCCCAAAGTATTGTTATACTGCATATTTATTTTGACTCATCTGGACGTATTAGCTAATTTTCCTCATGATTGTTCTCCTCTGATCCATTGGTTATTTGGAAATATGACAACTTGCCTTAATAAATTCCTTTTAAATGTAGTTTTAGGATGACAGTGAAATTGAGAGGAAGGTCCACAGATTTTCTATATACCCTGCTACAGTTTGGAACTGAAGCGTCTCCCAAAGGAGCACGCATAAAGTCAATGGCACTATTGGGAAGTGGTAGGACTTGTAAGAGGTGGGGCCTAGTTGGGGGAAGTTAGATCATTGAAATGTGACCTTGAAGAGGAAATACTGGGAACCTGACCCCTTCCTCTCACTTTTGCTTCCCAGCCACCATGAGTGACTTCCTCAGCCAAATGCTCCTGCCATAATATGCTGCCTTGCCACAGGCCCAAAGCAATAGGACCCATAAGACTGGAACCTGAGAAACTATGAGCCAAAGCAAGCATTTCTTCTTTTTTTTTTTTAGTTGATTTATCACAGATACTTATTACAGCAATTGAAAGCTAATACATACCCATGTTCCTACACATACACAGCCCAGAGTGGGACAATTTTTCTAAATTGGTGAATCTGCATGAACACATCATAGTTTAGCATTTACCTTTGGTAATACACACCCTGTGGGTGGAACAAATGTATAAAGCATATATCTACCATTATAATATCATACAGAGAATTTTCACTGCTACAAAAATTCTTTTTCTTCTGCTTATTCATCCCTTTCCTCACAGCAATTCCGGGCAACCACTGATCTTTTTATTATTGCCACAATTTTGTCTTTTGAAGAATGTAATGTAGCTTGAATCACATACTATGTAGCTTTTTCGTAGTGGCTTTTTTCTTTGTATTAATTATTATTATCAACATACATTAATTGTACAAATTAGTGGGATTCATTGTGATATTTACATCCATGCATTTACATCATGCTTTGATCATGTCAATCCACCCTTTTTCTATTCTCATTCCTTATACTCTACAGGCGTTCTTCCCATTTCACAGTAATCCCTCTCTTTCTTTTAGGTAATTTTTGTTTTCAGTTTCCATTTTCATGAAAGAGCATGTCTTTTGTGATACTTGTCTTTCTGTGTCTGATTTATTTTCTTGATATGTCCTCCAGTTCCATCCATTTTGCTGCAAATGAGAGGATTTCATTCTTCTTTATGGCTGAACAATACACCATTTTGTATATATCTGAGTTTTATATCTGTTGGTAGGCACCTAATTGTTCTAGCTAAAATTACTTAGCTATTGTGAATTGAGCCCAGTAAATATGGGCATGTCTCTTTTATAGGCTGACTTCCTTTCCTTCAAGTATATACCCAGGTATATGATAGCTGCATTATATGGTAGATCTATTTGTAGTCTTTAAAGAATCTACATGTGACTTCCATAGTATTGTACTAATTTAAATTCTCACCAACAGTGTACAAGCATTTTTTTTCTTTTTTTGTTTTTTTGTAAACTTCACATCCTTGCTGAAATTAAAAAAAAAAAAAATTAATTGGAGTGTGCTGGTACCTTGCTATAGTTTTTATTTGCATTTCCTCGATTGCTTATGATATTGAACCTTTTTCACATATTTATTGGCCATTCATCTTACTTCTTTTGAGAAGTATCTAGTCAGATCATTTAGCCATTTTAATACTTTTGTTTGTTTGTTTCAGGACTAAGAATTGAACTCAGGGCCTCTCTCACATGTGAGGCGACCATTATACCACTGAAGTATATCTCTGATTTTTGCTTTTGTTTTCTCTACTTCTGAAATCCTCTCGAAAAAAATTATTATTTGTGCCAACATTTTGAAGTGTTTCCTTTATGTTTTTCTTAATTAGTTTAAGGTCTTATATTAAGGTTCTTGATCCATTTTTAATTGCAATTTTTACAGGGTGAGATATAGAAGGTCAGGTTTTGATCTTCTGTATGTGGATATCCAGCACCATTTGTTGAAGAGATTGTCTTTTGTCCTGTGGAAAGTTTTTGGCAGCTTTGTTGAGAATCAGTTGGATGTAGTTGTGTGGATTTATTCTGTGGTTCTCTATTCTGTTCCTTCAGTCTATGTGTTCATTTTTATGCCAATACCATGCTGGTTTTATTACTATGGCTCTGTAGTATGTCTTGAAATCAGGTATTGTGATGCCTCTCGCTTTGCTCTTTTTGCTTAAGATTGCTTTGACTCTTTGGAGTCTTTTTGTGCTTCCATATGAATTTTAGGATTTTTTTCTAGTTCTGTGAAGAATGTCATTGGTGTTTTCATGGGGATTGCACTGAATCTGCAGATTGCTTTTTGTAATATAGCCAATTTAACAATATTAATTTTCTCAATATATAAACACAGGAGGTTTTTCCACCTTTTAATGTCTTTCAATTTCTTTCTTCAGTATTTTGTAATATTTACTGTAGTTTT